TTCCCCCCAAGTGTTCTCAGTGTCACCTCAGGGAGGCCTCTGCTGATCGTCCTTGCCCATCAGACCCAAGGCTCCCCTTTCTCTGCTCTAGTTCTGTTTTTCTCACAGCACTTATATCACCTCTTTCTTTACTAGGCCTGCTGTTTCTGGTCTGTCTCTTCCCAGCAGAACACGACTCCGTGTCATCAGAAATCTCTATTTCTTTCATTGATGTAGTCTGTGTACCTATAGGACATGCTTTATAAATACTTGAAGGTTGAATAAATTCATATGACAGCCTAATTAAGATCTACCACTAGGGAAAGATTAACTTAAAACAATGTGTAATAATAACAATTTGATCTTACTAATACTGAAAGCTTCTGTAGAAACGACGTGGTATTGAAATCTTATTATGAACTAAGTGCACTAAGCATTTTACATGAATAATCTTATGTTATGTTCAGGGCAACCACATCAGGCTATCTATCCTTTTCCTCATCTTATAGTCAATGTTCTAATTTGTTCAAGGTCAGAAGCAAGAAAGTGACAAAGCTGCATTATAACACCATACCAGTGTGCTGCAGAACCCACAGCTAAGAGTTGTTGCCTTCACCCATCTGCCACTGGGCACCTTCGAAGATTGTCCCATTTTCTGCACACCTGCTCCATGTAACAGCAACTCTGACTTCAGTTTCTTTCCTGGTAATGGGTTACCGTGGTCGCAATGTATTTCACATTGAAGATTATAAAGGGGGCCCTCAGTCAGAGATAGATGGAACAGTAAATCTAAAGAGGACACCAAGAAGGTCAGAATGACCAGCTCACCATATGCTGAGTGGTGCAAGGGTAAAACTAGAGGCCCAGGGAATTCCTTGAGAGAGCAAGAAACAGAAGCCGATCCACAAATCCAGAAGGAATTGCCCATCACAGGAGAAGAGGTTTCCTGTATCTTGAAAGAATACATGAGACAATCCTAGGTTTTGTTTCTTGCTGTAAAATCAAAAATTAAACATGGATTTCACTTATAGGAATCCAAGCAGACTTTTTAACAAATTGAATCTTTGAGAATCAGTAGTTTGCAGAAATAACACAGTTAATTTTGGCTAATTTTTCTCTTCCACTAAAGAAATTCACTGGCATTAATTCTTTAGCCATAATATGTAACATGTAGGTATACAAGCAATTCAAAATGTGCAAGTGGTAAGCTAGCACCATCTCCGAGTGTAAGATTTATTAATGTCTATATTCCATTAGCTAAATTTAGCAATGCATAGAAATCACATATTAAAAGCAGCACTATTCGATTCATCTGACTTGTGCAGCTTCCTCTGAGGTCAGTGGAAGTTGTGCAGACCATAAATGTTCTCCAGTTCATGGTTCCATCAGTATATGTCAGGATGTCATGCAGGCCTGCATTTTAAGGCTAACTGAAATAATTATTTATGAAATAAATATCCATAACATTGCCATGTCCTATTTGCATCCAGAAGAAAGTATGCTGCCCTTGGCCTCATAATATTTAGTTAGCATCTGTATTCTCCCCTAAAACTGCAAAAAAATAAAAAACTATGTGCGATGTGGATTGACAGAAAGATGCTCAAGTCCCTCCCCTACTGCAAAGAGGAAAGCAAGATAAGTGAGGTGGTTTTTAGACGAACATTCGGTGCTGTTTAGATCCTGAAGTGCTGTGTTAGAAATGATGAGGGACACTGCACATGGGTGTGCTGAAGTACGTTATGGGAAATCAGAAAAGTATTTCTGGGAAAGAAAGGTTCAGAAGTTAGTTACTCAAGGTCAACTTTGATCCAAACACTGTGCTAGATACTGACCTATGGCCTCCGGTTTTATCTTCACTCTGACCATCTAGGGAAGTGATGGTGGCCATCCAGTGATCTGCTGCACACGTAAAAGCTGAGTACCAACTTCCTGCTGGGAACTGTGCTGAGCTCACACACAGAAACACTCTGTCCTTGTATCGAGATGGTCACCATGCCAAGCATTTTATTTGGCTAATCTGAGTTAACCCTAACTATAACCCATGAGGCAGGTTCTATTGTTGCCATCATATTTTATAGCTGAATACATTGCAGTTTAGGAGTAAAGAGCCTTAAAGTCTTACTGCAGCTGGATAGTAGCTGAAGCTATTAAGACTGATCTCAGGGTGACAAATCCAGCACAACAGTGGATCTTAGGATAGCAGAAATACTTGCACTGCTTTGCAGTATTCTAGTTTTAAACTGGATCTCAATATTCTAACACAAAACAAAAGATAAGGATCCAGAGAGCACAATAAATTGTGACAGTCCCACAAAGAGAAGTCATTCTGTTCAAATGAGCCTCCTTATTTTTTACTGAAAGATTTTTGTTCTTCAAGAATTAACCGTCTTGTATGACATGATGACTCTCAACTAACTGAAATAAAGAAAATCTCAGTTCCCTGTTCATTTTGATGAACTAAAGTTCATTTTATGCTTTTACAAAATTACAATGGTGTAACTAATCATTTATGGAAAGTGCGAATCTACAATTCAGATTTAAGGATAATATTCTAGTTAAAATTTTTAATGAGGCTTTTGTTTTATTCTCAAACTGTGACAACTATAGCTTGTAGAATTTATTGGCATTTAATAGGTTCTCTCAAAATATAGACTGACTCAATCAATGTTCTTTGAAGTTACGTTTTGGGCCATTTTATAACATTGTCTTATTTCTTCATTTTATGTGTTTTTAACTTCATTGCCTATTCTACTTGTATTGGCCTACCTAGTAGGGTACTGGTATACTTTGCCTCTTTAAAATATGGATAGTTGAAAATTGTACCAGTGCTACTTATTTTAGGCATGAAGACAAACTATATATAGAGAGAAATCCATGAAGTAAATTGAAGCATTTATCATATCAAAAAATAAAAATATCCTAGGACTATAGGAAGACTCAGTAGAACAAAAAATATGTGATAAAACAACAAGAAAATTCTGTTTATGTCAGAAAATGTTCAGTTGACTTTTAGCCCTGTGTTGGATTAGTTAATGATCAACCTGTAACGCCCAGCTGAACTGAATCAGCATGGTTTGGGCACGGAAGACCCACCTGAAGATTGTTGCCAATGGCATAAAAACAGAACGGGAGAGGAAGATTGTGGGGTTGCTGATTTTCTAGAAGAAGCTTGCTGCAGATGGTTTTCCTGATGTGAACCTGGCTTTTCTCGGTGGAGGAGCTCCAGTCCTTGTCATCACTGGGAATGGCTGCTCTCCTTTTCAGGGAATCTCTGATCCTCAGTAAGAGCATCTCTTCCTGGCTTCACTGTAGATCCCTCAGTGTGGTGACAACCAACAGGCAAAGGTTTTCTGGCCTCCACCACAAGCCTTTGGGCCTTTCAGATACAGACCTTCCATGTGGATAGAATGAGACATTGGATAAGAATGAGACATTGCCCTGGGCTCTGGGCCACTGGCTGGACTCCTGGAGGACATTGCCTTGAACTCTAGGCCTTCAGCTAGACTTGTGCAGTGGGATCCAGGCTCTTGGCTGGATTCTTTGGGTCTCTAGTGTGTGGCTAATCTCTTGCACTCCTCTGCACTTGACTTTTTGGGTGACTATTATAAAATAATCCTATAAATTATGTGTAATGTAGTAAATCTATTCCCTAGCAAACCCTTACATGTCTCCTGAACTAAACGAGATTGGACTTCACCTGTTTATCAAGCAACTGCAATGTTCCACACATTTTTATGCTGTATTAAGAGCTTCTTCCATACTATTGCTTACATTTAGAGGTACGTGGTGTAAACATGTTTCTGTAGCTGGCTGTCTCCTCTGTAGCGCCAGCAATACACGGTGTTGCCACCAGATGTCACCACCTCACCCTTGAAATGTGAGTTACTCCCCTCAAAGCTATGCAGTGGTTTGCAGCAACACAGGTCGCACACACCCTTCAGGTTTCTCTGCTTTCCTGTGACACCACCGGCTAGAGATGCAAAAAGAAAGAGCTCCAGAGACCACCAGCCATTTTTCACATTCCTTACCACCTCCTAGCTTTCACGAGAGTTTGAGTTACATGTTCTAGACAGAAAATAGCACCATTAATGGGACCACTTAACTTTCCTTTGGTTGACTAAGTCTTGATTTGAGGCCTTGCTTGCCTGCCCAACTTCTCTAGTTCTCAAGTTCTCTTAGGCTACAGTGAACCTACTTTCCAGGGCACCAGGAATGCTGAGGAAAGAACTGCAGGTAGGACTTGATTTGTGAGCTTTCCCTACGCTGGATACACTTTTGTGTCCTTTTGAAGTCATGCTGCTTTGTCCTGTGATGTTCAGAACCTATTACCAAAAATAATTAAAATTAAAGAGAGGAAAGCTAGGCAACCCTTTAATATCAAGAGAAGAAATATTGTGTGTTTGGTTCCTTGTCTTTGTTAATTACTCAATTTGTGTCATTAATAAATGACTAACATCTCTGTCAAGTCCACTTCTACCTAATGTCATCTCTACCTAAGACTAAATACTAGGTCATTTTCTCAATAGTTATGTGAAGCAAAAGATGGGTTTGTTGATAAAGAAATATTAAGAGAAATACTTTGTTTTATGAAGAGTGTAGGCCTTAAAATGCTAAAAGAATTAATTTTTAAAACTCTTTCTAAAGAATTTAGTAGTTCAATGTGAATCAGAATTTGTTGGGTTTTGGGACTGAATCTTGTCTTTTCTGAATGGTTTCAAACAGATATTATGATTACAGTTATCCAAGACTATATCATCTTATAAATTTTTAAATCTGAAAGGTCTTTTCATATCAATAATGAGAATGATTCTTTAAAATCCATTAACTAATAACATTCTTTCATGGAAACAATTCCTTAACTGTTATAGACTATCTTATGACAGTTTTACAAACAAAATGAACACTGTCAGAGTATCAAAGATGAAATACACTTAAGACAGAGTCACAAAGCTCTGGGTAATCCTCCCCAGCATTCCAACTCCCAGGACGAGCGATGTCATAATGTCCTGGTTAGCCCTTGGATAACTTCCTGCCATGCCACAGGAAGAAAGCTCTAAGGAGAAAGAATGGATTACTGTATAACCCACATCAACTTCTTAATGAATGTTATAGTCTTTATATTTTTATCTGGGGTTTCTTCCTCAGGGATTAGCAATTCTGAGCCCAGTATGGGAGGTGAGTAAAATTTTAAAATTTCATAGAAATAATAGGTAGCAAGGATGACTCTTAATCTCAGAAAACTGCCATGTGGTAATTTTGTAAGAGTGCTATAGTTTTTTTTTGTTGGACATATGAAATAACTTGGACTTTAAATCCAAATTGTTTATGAAAAATACTGTGCAAAAAGAAAGTGAAAAGGATGTCAACATATTTGTGATTGTTGGTGTGTCACACTTTTTTAGAGCTACCTGATGTGATATCTTTAGATGAAGATAATCATGAAGAACAAGATATGGCTAATAATCCTGCTACACACCATGAGGGAGAAAAAAACTCGAATGATATTCCTGCTAATGAGAAAACAGGCAATTACTATAAAGACATAAAACAATGTAAGTCTTTAAAGGAAATAAGAGTGCATACAAAACCTGATTATTCTAGTTTGACAACTTTAAACGCAATTATTTTACCTACTTCTTCAATTCTAGCTTACCTTGAAAACTTTTAAGTGTATAAAATGAAATCCTTATTTCCTACAACTTTTTTCATGAGATGGTATGAAGTTTAACAAGGTTCTCTTGGTATCCATTTCTAATCACCATGGTTCCTCAGGACGTGGTAGGTATGTGTTCACAATAAAAATTGACTTAATTCAGCAGCGAGGTAACAAGTATTTCTTTGAAGATAAGAAGCCATTTCCTGGGTCTGTTAAAGCCCACGATGAGTACTAGGTGGCTCAAAGCATCCAAAATCTATTTGCTCACTGTTCTCCAGACTTCAAGTCCCAAATCAGAGTTTTACTTGATCAAATAAAGCCTCTCCACACAGCATGAGGTGAGGCTCCTCCCGCCTCTTCAGCTTCTGGGAGCCCCAGGTGTCCCTGCCTTGTGGCAGCATCACTGCGGTCTCTGCCTCACTCTCCTCACATGGTTTCTCCCTGTGTGTCCCTGTCGACAGGTCCCTCTTCCTGTAAGGACATCAGTCATGTCTGATTAGGAGCCCACCTACTCTTAATTACGTCTTCCATCACCCTGTTTCCAAATAAGGTCACATTCTGAGGTACCAGGTGTTAGGACTTCCACACTGGCTTTTCTGGGGGGAGGACGCAATTCAGCCTTTGACAGTGTGACTTCTACATATTTCAAAGGTCCGTTAAAATTTAGTTTATAATTTACTATTCTTCATATGGACTTCCTTTCCATGTCCTTACTAGATGTACCATTCTAAAATGCGTAAAGTTCATGAGAATCCCTGCTTAAAAATTAAGATAACATTTAATTATGCTATAATTTTTATTAACATTAAAAAATAGAAAACAAAGCTATACATATACATGCAGAAGTTTGAAAACTTCAGTGCATAACTTGTACTTCTGTTGTTTTGTTGAGGACTCAATATCCCTCTTAAATTTTGTACTTGTACACCCACATAAAAGGACTCACACTAAGGACTTACTTTTCTCATTTAATAACTCTGGAACTCTTTTCCTGTCTACCTTACTCATTTTTTGTTTTAAGTACTAGGCCTTTGCACTGAGCTATATCTATCTGTAGCTTTTTTCTTTATACACACTTGGGTGTATCTCCCAGGTGAGATATCAACTACTGAAATTGTTGAAAACAAGGTAAATCTTTTCAAATATTGGTAGCTGCCACCAAAGTGCCCTCTAAAAATTATTTACCAATTTATATTCTACAAAAATGTTCCACAACATCATCCATAATGAATATCTGCAACAGAATATTTTGTGTGTGATGGGTGAGAAATATATTGTCACTTGTACTGAAGTTAAATATTTTCTCTATTATTTATTGGATATTTTCATTTCTTATTACTTGTTCTTATTACCATATTTTGCTTATTACCTGTTCATAATCTTGCCCTATTTTATATACAGTTTATTAATTTTTTGTGTGATTTACTAAAAGCTTTCTTCTACACTATTTCTTACATTTAAACCTATTTAAGTATTTTTAATCCTAGAGAAAATTTCCCATTTTCTGAAATCAATTCTATTGATTAATTTCTTTTAAATTCTTTATTTTATGTCTTGGATAGACAGGACTTTTCCAATCCAGGGTACTAACTTATTTCCCTAAACTTTTCTGAGAATTTCCTATTTTATTTTTAACTCTTAAGTTTAAAATCTTATTTTGTTTTTTTGTTTGTTTGTTTGTTTTCTTTTTGGTACCAGGGACTGAACTCAGGACCTTGTGCTTGTGAGGCAGGTGGCAGAACTACTAAGCTAAATTCCCTGCCCTGATTTTGTTTTTATATGGTATAAAATAGGGATTAAAATATGTTTTTGAAAGCCAGAATAGCTGATTGTCTAAAAGTAATTATTTGTGTGATATTCATTTTTAATATAATCTAAAATTCTCATATGAAATGGAGTCAATTGTTAAAGTTTTATTCTTTTTTGATTGTTTTCTACAAAAAATAGCACAATATTTTAACTTTTATACTTTCTTAACTTATAACCTTTATTTTATTACCTTTATTTCTCCCAAAGATCTATCTCAGAATTTCCACAAAAATATTTAAACATTAATGATGCCATCTTTTTCATATGTGTTACTGAGGAAAATGAATACTTAGGTGAACAGCAAATTTGCACATATTCATATTCATGAGTATATAAAATTTTCTGTTATTCCACAAGACTTTGGAAATGACCAATGTATACAGGTATTCAGTCTGCCATTGTGTTTTTCTTCAGAATAGTTCTGCAGTATGAACTGAACTATTTTTTTCCCTTAAGTTTATTGGTACATTTAAAGCAAACAATACGGTTACATTTATTATTGGAATCTTGCACCTTTACGTGATATGTCTTGGTTCTTATTTTTTCCCCATACCGGTGCCCTCCCTTCACCCCCTTTACCCTTCCCTATTTACAAAGACTTTGTTTCCTTTTTTTCATTTTTTCTTTTCCCTCATTTCCATGTCCCTCCCCTTCCCATTTCCCCTTTAGCCATTTTCAGTCTGTCATTTTGACACAATTTACTTTGATCCCTTGAGTAGGTATGTTCATTAGCTTTTATTTTTTATTTATTCATTTATTTATTATTTATTTAGTTGGTACCCAGGATTGAACTTGGGACCTTGTGCTTGTGCAGCAGGCAGCAGAACTACTGAGCTAAATCCCTGTCCCCAAACCTCTTTACTGAACTAAAAGTTCAAATGAAGACTTCTTACTTAGTGTTTCAGTGATGTCAATCAATCCATGATAATATTGCATATCTTCTAATCTACTTTGGCATCTGTTATAAACTTGCACATTTTTCTGTGAGTTTCCTTATAAATTGCTTCTTAGTCATTGAGTTTAAAGTTTTAGTTTTCTTCTTGAGAATGTTCAATGTAAATTTGCTTCTGTTTTCTTATTTTACGCATGAAAAATGAATCAAATAGTTTTATAATTTTGCGGGGTGGATCATTCAGCACACTTTTTAGAAAAATCTTGTGGGGCTGGGGATTTAGCTTAGCGATTCTGCTGCCTGCTGTGCAAGTGCAAGGATCTGAGTTCAATCCCCAGTACAAAAAACAAACAAACAAACGAAAAAACAAATACAAAATCTTGTGAACAAAAAGCAATGGACAACTGATTTAACCAGGTATTCAAGACTTTTGATTTTTTTTTTTTAGATGTGCTCACCACACAAAATTCAAATGGTACTGTTTCTGAAATATCTGTGAGAGCAACAACAGATCTGAACTTTGCCCTAAGGAAGTGTAGGTATTGATAGCACCATTACACTTGCAAAAGCCCTTAAAGCAGAACTTCAAAGCAGCACCAGAGAGGTTGTGGAGGAAAGAAGCCTTAGCTCCTAAAAATGCCTAAAAATGTCCCAGGTCTATTCTGTGACTCTGGGGCCCAGCTGAGGCCTGGGACAACCCCTAGGCTTTTCTCACAATTACTCACACACCATATCCTCCAGGCTGTATTCCACTGCACTGACAACTCAAAAGGCAGGTATTGTGTTTGTGCACCTTGTATATTTGATTTACATGGAAAAAAAAACAAGCATCTGGGAAATTATAATGTTTCTTAAATTGACATTTTTTTGCTCCTGTTTCTTAATCCTCAACAACTTTGAACAAGGAAGAGAGACTATTTCTAGTGATGGTAATTTTAACATTGGGACAAACCAATCTCACTAGATATCTAATTATAATAAAGCCACTTGGTCATAGTGGAATATTTTGAACAATTCCAAATCCTGAGACAGTGACATTTCCAGAGAAGACATTAATTAGATAATTAATTATCTATCTTCAAAGACATTAATTAGATAATCCTTCTAATTCATTATTAATTAGATAATCTTGCTGTGCGTAGACAAGATACAAAAAGCCAGCTCCAAAGCAGACCAGGTTCCAAGGTTTCCCTTGGGATATGGGGTACTGAGAACTATAAGACTCACAGAATTGGGTCCAAAACTATGCTGACAATTTAGGACCCGAAGGCATCAAGAAACTTAGCCTGGGCCGGGTGTGGTGGCGCACTCTGGAGGCTGAGGCAGGAGGATCACTGTAAGTTCAAGACCAGCCTGGGCTACGCAGTGAGTTCCAGGTCAGTCTCAACTACATAGTGAGATCCTGTCTCAAAAAAAAAAAAAAAAAAAAAAAAAAAGCCTCTGATGAAAGATTCCTACCATCTTAATAGAGGCTCTGACAACATGTTCATACATAGTAGGGACAATCTAGAGTCCAAGCCCCTCAAGGAAATAGAGAAAAGGAAATAGAGATCTCTAGTGTAATTTTGACTAAAGAGGACTTGCTTAAATACAGTTCCTAAAGTTCTGAGGGCAAGGGGGTAAACTGAGGCAATCTGCTCTCTCTCTCTCTCTCTCTCTCTCTCTCTCTCATAGAGCATTAATGGGTGCATAGCAGAGTTTAAAGATTACTTACTGTTATTTTGGGTCCTATCTGTAGCAATGTCAACTCCAGTAGTGGAGTCCCTTCTCTACTCTCTATTGTCAGCTGGATGCCTGTAGTAGGTTTGTGGGTTGTGCCTGAATTTCTGTCTCTCTGTAGAACTCTTCTTTTATGGGGTGGTCTGCAAACTTACGGAACTTATACTCAAATTCAATGATTACGTTCAGTATTGACCTTATGGGAAATTTGGTTTGGTTCTTATCCAATTCCATTTGTAATCAGAACCATGGAAAGAATTAAGTTCATGAACCAAGATTCCACTACACTGACTCCTGTATTCAGCAAAGTTCACTACTATGACCAAACTAAGTGTTCCCAAAGGCTTTTTTGGTGACACACCTGAAGAGGTACACATTCTAGATTGAGTTTCAAAATCTTTACATTCAAAACTCTTTCCCAGTGTACAAGACATTTGTGCTGCCTCCCTCTTCCCTTTCTTTAGACTGAGCAAAATCCAGGCCACTTGGTAATGCGAATCTCATTTCAAAGCCTGTTTAGGAAACCTGGGAAAGACAGTCATTCAAGCCAACTGCTCTCCCTCTCCTCTACAGGAAGCCTGTGGTCTCGTGCTCCCTGCCTTTCTTCTCTTTCACAATTTAGAAACTTTAACCTCACCCAAGGCAACTTGGTATCACAGAAATGTTATTCTTCAATGCCTTCTTCCTCCCATTTTTTGCTATTTCAGGAAGATGTCAATGTCTTTGCCTTTAATGTCTTCTGTCTCTTGTCTTCCTTCCATTTTTGTCTTTAGAATATGCCAATTTTCAGATGTTTATTTCTTATTTTTATGTGGTACTAATACTTTATCTCTTTTCATAGACAGAATGAGTACGCCTACAAACAAGGAAGAAGAAAATGAAGCCGCTCTTAGAAAGAACCAAAGTATTAAAATTATTTTGATGTATTCATTTTTAGCCACATCATTCTATGACTTGAAAATTTAAGAGTCACTACTCTGAGCATTGCATAAAGAAAATAATATGCTTAAAGAGTTTATACTGTTATATTTTAAAGTCACTCTAAACTCTTGTAAGTGATGAAAGTCTGAGAGTGAATTTTTAAGTATACCTGACAAGGCATAGTAACTGAGCTTTTTAGCAATTTAAGTTTATTTTAGTAAATGTGTTATAATTATATCAAATATTTATAAGTGATTATATTTCATATGTAAAATACAAGTATATTTTAAATATGTTTATTCCTATAAATATGTATATGTCTTGCATTTTTAGAACTGTAATATGTTAAACATATTATAAATATAATTTATTTTGATAATAATGTAAATTTCTACCTATTTAAGGAATAAATGTATTTCTGATTAGAGTCAATAATTAAATGTTTTCTAAGATTATTCCATCAAGGAGTTTTGGGAATGGGAGGCTGCAAAATAACCATCATCAGTTTACTTTCCTGCCAAAAATATTGTTCCTTATAAAATATTTGCGAAGCCCTAACAACCCATGATGGCTTCTGTGATGTCTTGAATGAGTAGTCTTTTTTGAAGATAATGAAGTCTTAACTTTCATTCCTTTTTTTGTAAACAGGAACAACCCCAAATGTGCCTGCATTTTGGTCAATGTTAGCTAAAGGTAAATATACAGTTAAATAGCTGGGGAAATGTTTTGGTTTTCTAAAATCTTATGTAAGAAAGCCAGAGTCAGTCTTAATACTTCTAATACTAAGAATCAGTAAGTGAATGTTTGGCTGCACATGTCATAGCAAATGCAGTACAAAAACCAGGTTTTTATTCTCCTTCACAAAAGAAGTTTTATTCTCCTACAAATATTAAAATATAGTCACTCAATTTATGATTAAAAGAGTTAAATAAGACTTTTTTTGCCTGGTACAGTCCCATTTTATATTTGAAACAGTGTGAGCATAAAAACATAGGGATGCATAAATATATAAGTACAAATTATATATCAAAATATATGCCTGTATAAAAGAAATGTATATAGCCTGAATATATAACCATGCATCTATAATACAAGGTACATATCAATCTATACATGCATATATAAATATGCTTTTAGGGAGATGCATACATATGAATATGTTGCATGGATCATATATATATATATATCTATTTCTATATGTATAATAAATGTGAAATATATCATATTAAATCCTAATTTTTTGCCTATACTCTTATTTGTATTCTGTCCCACCTATTCACCAAGATCTCTGTCGCCCCAAAAAGCAATACTTAAAATGATGTCAAAGCCATTTGTGAACACTGGCAGAGATTACAAAAACTGTTTATACGTGACACATATAGTCAAACCTTCATCTGGCCCCAAATGTCATATTAAATTGCTGGATATTCTTCCTGAATTCAGAAGCCCATAATGTGCCATATGGAGAAAATCCATGCGCGAGATAAGCTTGGTTCAGGCTTAAATTATAGTGCTCTTTGCCATATTGAACATAATAACAATCATGAATAATGAGAACCAACTGAACATATTATACATACAATAATTTTTCTCAGGTGATTGTTTGCCGTAACACCAATTTATTGTTTTAACAGCTATAAAAGGAACAACAGTGAGCATGGATGATAAAGATCAATTACTGCAACCAATTCCAGGTAAGAACAAAGCACTTGGGTTAATAGATACATAATTCATTTTAGTGGCTGCAAGGCAATAGTTTTTCCCTAGTACAGGGTAGTATACATAGGAGTGAATCCTGATGGCTGACATTATTGTCAGAGGGGACGTTTACTGTTTTAGAAGAGTTACAGTTCCTGAGCACTCTTTTTCCCGTTTTCATTCATATATGTCTGCAGTACATAATCATTACACTCACCCTGAGGAATTGGTACAGGGCGGTTTTTAATTCGTACACGTTTGCATGACATAGTGATTGCATTCTTCGTGGAGAGTTGCTACAAATACATAGCACATGTTTTGTCATCCCCTTCCTCTCCTTTCCTACTCCCCTCTCTCCATCTCTTGGCCCGCTTCCCTGTTGCAAAATATTTCTCCCTCCTTTTCATACTATCTATCTTTCATTGTGTCCTGAGTGTTTTTCTCCACTTAACATTTTGCAGGCGACTGGTGCCATCTTCTTGTTTCATAGCTTCTATACCCAGAATCAACAAGCCACATAGAGGAGAGGGGGAGTGAGGAACATGTACAATTCAGTCTTTTAAAAACAGGCTTTATTTTTAGATATGATTTTGTTATTTGTTATAGAAAGTTTAACAAGTTTCTTCCTTTGTTTTGTAAATGTCTGACACACTGGGTTTAAACAGCTCAGTAATAAAAACTCAGCTCGCTGGTCTCATGAGATAAGTCTCAGCACACCATACTTTCAGCTTTTGAGGCAATCAGGACATTCCCCCAAAAAGCACATACCTTTCTCTCCTGCAGAACTGGTTACACGTGTGAAAATTAATCAAACTCTCTTCAGATGATAGATTACTCAAACTGGTGTCTAATAAGGGCAGGAAGAAATCAGTTACATACCTATTTTGGCATATGGTAATCCAGATCTAGAATCAGATTGCTACTTACTCAGGGGAAAATTCATAAGCCTCTGTGATCCTGCAAAACTGAACCAAGGATGGCTGCTCCAAGATTGCCAGGAAGGTTAAAGAGAAAAGGGCACTTGCCCTGGTGGTGGCCTCCCTCTGTTGGGCAGGAGCAGTGAGTACTGAGGATGGTGGTGGCTTCTCTGCAACGCTTACTCCTGCAGAAAGAGTGCGGGACACGTTATTTTCCATGACGCCTTCTTTCTTGTCCTCTCAGGCTCTGATGTAAATGCTACAAATGAAGAAGAGTACCAGTCATACCTACAGAATCTCAAGCTCAGATTAATGCTGGGCATTGCGCTGATGGCCCTCCTCATTTCTATCTCCCTCGTGATATCCTTCATTGCCACATTGTACAAGCTGAAGCAGCTGAGGTAAGGCTCCTGACATCTGCAATCCTTATAACTAATGTATGCCGTGCAGCTGACTCCTTCCTGCCTCAGCAAACCGTTAGGAAAATGCGACTCCTATATTATGTAACTCTAACTTGTTCATTTTACTCCATTTCTCCTACTCAGAAGGAGCATGGAGCCATCTCTCAGGGAATATTCATCCTTCTTGAGCTTTTCCCCAATAATTTAAAGTCATTGATAGGTAAAAGTAGTCATAGTCGACTAGAGAGTACATAGATGATCTAGATAATGCTTATTTATAGCCTTGGAGTAGAAGGACCATATATTCTCTTTTGAATAGCATATCTGGCTTTTCCTTCAAGGAAGCCTTGCCTTCAAAAAACAGCAGATCTCTCTGTCACACTTATATCTTAAGGCCTATCCATTTGATCTTTTTCCTAAAAATAAACTATGAAGTTCAAATCAAACCTGGATGGGGAATTGTTTATTTAAAATTTCTTCACATAGTAATAGAAATTATTTTCAAAAATTCCAACAAAATTGCCTAGTGTTCACAGTAATGAAGTAATGATTAATTATATTGTTTTGGTTATGATGTTTTTCATGAATGGTATATTTTTCTGATTCTTTAAAACTCTAATGGTAGGAATTTATTTTCTCTAATTATAGTTCATTTTGCACATTTTCCATTAAACTTGTACCAAAGCAATCTTTACTGTTTTACTAAATTGGTTTCTAAATTATAGTCTTGAGTTCTGAAACATGCTCCATCCACACAAGCCACAGTACAATAAAATTATAATTTTTTAAATCCCGTATCATTTATGTAATGTTATTGAGTAACTAATAAAATTGACAAAATTCATTTATACTTTAATTTTGGTGAAGTCTTCTCTAAGTTATTACAAATATATCCAATTATAAACAATTCTTAATCTGTGTTTTCTTTTTCAGTCACAAAAGGAGTCAGAGTCAGTACTCTATCAACCCAGAGCTGGCCATGCTTTCATACTTTCATCCATCAGAAGGTGTATCAGATACATCTTTTTCCAAGAGTGCAGAGAGCAGCACGTATTGGAGTGGTGCCCATTTAGATCTGAGAAAGCAGAGCTCAAGAATGTCTAGAAATATAACAGCCTTAGATGACATAGGGTTACATGAGGAGTCGGAGTTACTCATCAGTGAGGAAGCAAATGAGGAAATCAGTGACGTCAGCAGTGAGAATCCAAATGAGGAAATCAACGATGTCAAATAGATAACACCCTCTTATAACTAACAAATGATTTTCCTGCCTGACACTAATGTCGTAATTTTGAAACTGTTGCGATATGTAAAATTTCTGATACTTTAATGCTAGCAGACTATGGACTGGGCATCTCATCACTCAAAAGCAAATAATCATGACACGGAAATTGATGTGGAATCAGATTCATTCGGGGCAAACTACTTGGAAGATGGGAAAAGGGTATTGTCCTCTAGGCTTATTTTGCGGAATACAGGAGTACAAATTGTCTTTAATATGGAGAGAAAGGAGGAACAGGGCAGGAGGTTTATGTGCTGACGAAGTCCTCAGCATCGAGCATGTGTCTTTCCTTTGTATTTTTCTGGAACATCCCAGCGGACCCAATCACATTGGGTTAGTTCCTCTAGTTATTTTTAGACAGACACTTTCTCCACTTTAAACTTCTTTGCATGCTTTTAGTTGAGTGACAAGGTAGAACAAGAAGGAATATAACATATTCTGATAGTATCTGAAGGTCATTTGATGTTCTACATCGCATAATTCTAAAGAAAGATTGTTTAGTATTTGACACCTTAACTATTCAGGTTGGGCTTCTCTTTAGGACGCTGGACAAAAGACAAGGGATGATAAAGGATGACAAGGGCGGGTAGGCAACTTTGTGGAAAGGGAAAGGGAGTGGCTATGAAAGTAAGTCTGCCAAAGACAACTTTCAAACTAATGGTGCTGCTACAATTCTCCACTGTCAGTGTTCTTTCATTTCCATAGGAAACTGGTGTTGACTGTATTTTGTGTACTTGGTGAATGGAAGTGAACATGGGCGATTTTTGTATTGGAAGGCTTTGACACAGTGAAATGCAAACTTTTTATTCCTTGTTTCTCCCCACTGGGAAGAGGTGGTCAAAGGTGTTATCATGCATAATATGATACTCTTAAATCCTGAGTAGACTCATTGTTATTATGAGTGTTAACCTTAATTTTAAAATTCCTTCAAAGATAAATCTGTTCCCAGATAGCAACAGGAGTCTTCAACTGCTTAGATAAAGTTTGATGCTCCAAAGTCTGCTGGACCCATGTAACCTGTTGTTTAATTTTATTAATGCTCCTTTCTACTTGGGACAAAGTATTTAATGTACAAGGAGCAGGATGTACAATTATACAAATAGCCCTTATCCAGCCAAGACATTGTCTGAGGACTAATACTTAACACCATTTATTTATTTATTTATTTATTTTTATTTATTTACTTGGGACAAAGTATTTAATGTACAAGGAGCAGGATGTACAATTATACAAATAGCCCTTATCCAGCCAAGACATTGTCTGAGGACTAATACTTAACACCATTTATTTATTTATTTATTTATTTATTTATTTATTTATTTATTTATTGCAATCTTGGGGATTGAACCCAGGGTCTTCATATAAAGCTATATCCCTACCTCTTTTTAAAAGTTTCTATTTTGAGACAGGTTCTCACTAAGCTGCCAGTGCCGATCTTTACCTGGTAATTCTCCTGCTTCAGCCTCCCAGAGTGCTGAAATTACAAGTGTGTGCCATCATTTCCAGCTACAAAGCACCATTTTTGCCAAAGAGCCTAGCAACCCATAGCCTCATAATTACATCTTAATTATCTTATCCTTTTGTATAAATATTTAAGATCCTGTCCTTACATGCAGACCCAGGCAGGATCTGACAGGGTATCCCAGAAGTATGTCCCTCTTGTAGCTCTTGCTTTACTCTAGAGTGATAGATCTAAGGCTCTGCTCCTATGAGCTCAACTCCAGGATGGAAAGGGTAATGTGGCTTATGCACTGGGTAGGCAAATCTGGAGAAAGGACAAATGAAAACAAGGCAGTTATTTCTGATTGAATTGCTGAACATATTTTTTAAATCCTGGTTTCATTTTCTAATTTAAAAGGTGGATCGCCTAACATAAACACTACAAATTGTTTGCCATGCACAATTTTAAAAGGGCTTAATTTAAGACCACTTTGGGGCTATACCCTAATTCAAAGCAGTACAATGGGCCAAACCTTATCCCTCTTTAAATGGGTCTGTTGACAGAGTTTAGAGTTTTTTTAAGGTCTGATTCATGTTTTCTGTTACTTCTTTTGATTTTGATTTCATTCTCTAAAATAATGAAGTTTCCGAGCTATTTGTAAAGATTTACTCACCTTTTGGGTGAGTAGAAACAAATCATGACCCCCTTTCACTTTAAATAAACTTCAGCAGTCTAAACCTTGGAACAAATATTTGAGCAAATAGTCATGTCAGTTGTCTTTTCAGTTTAAACAGACTATACCTCTACCCAGCCTAAGTACTCACAAATACAAATAAATAAATAACCTGAAGTCTACTTGCCAGTCTTCAAAGAAACCTTTATATACTGCACCACACTTTGAGGCGAGAGGTGTTCCATTTAGCACATGGCATCCTTGTGTAATTCTTTGCATAGCCTTTTAAAGATACAGGCCTTTCAAATAAGGCTGTAGTAAATCTGTCAACACATCCTTGCCATGATCTGTCCCTTTGTGTAGATGTTTGAATATTAGATACACCGGGGATTCACAGAATAAAATTGTCCTGTGATCTTTAATTTTCCACAGTGAGGGTCTGTATTAGAGAAGCTCTATTCTTGGGCACATTTCTCATCCTTCACTGTGTAATGAGTTTTAAATTTAGCCAAGTTCAAATGGGATGTCAAAGACCTTCACTCTAACAGCTTGTTTCTCAGCTCCTTCAGCTTTCTGATTCCCTCTAGTTATTTGGGAATCATCCTTTTGGTGTAATGAACAGTATGCAGTAGTCCTTGGTCTGGTAAAGCAACTGTTTCAAGTTAGGCCAGAATTTCCATCAGCTGTTTGATGTATTGATTTCCCAAATAGCCCTCTTTCTTTCCAGGTAGTTCTAGGACATGTGCTTTCATAAACACATAACTGAAAGTAGTGTATAGATGTTTATTCATTTCCTTATGAAAACTGTAAAGCTTTAGTGAGTGCAATTCAGCTTTTTGTGCATTACCGGGAGAGCATGAGCTTCTATTACGTTATCCAGCATAGTTTTATCTTACCCAGCTCCAAATTGTTTGTATTCCAAGAAGCTACTTTCACCAATGTATAGTTTCCAATAATGAGGTGTCACAGTTGACCTGGTAAACCCAGTCTGCTTGAATACACTGCATTGGGAATTTTTAGGCAGTTATATTCTAAATCAGAGTCAGTTTCTGTTATTGGGAGCAAGTGGATGGATTTCTGGCTCTGGCACTTTTCAAGACAAGGTTTAGATTACCCAGTAAAATAGCTTGATATTTGCCCATTCCCTGGCGGTCAACCAGTATCCTCATTTTGTTATAATAGAGTCAATACCTGATGAAGCATAAATACTATAATAGTCTTGCACAGGTGAACATTTTTGCATCCTGCAGAATATCACAAGTGGCTGCAAGTGCTGAGAGATGCAATAGCCATCCTTTGTGTATTCCATTTGTTTGAAGAAACAAACAATCTGTTGAAATAATTCTCTGAACATTTAAATGAGTATTCTAAACCTATGCCCTGTTCCTCATGGACAAGCAAACAACTTGAAGAGCTTTCAAGGGATAGGTAGCTGCAAGGCTGGCACTGATGTTAATTTTCAGGGTCAAATACTTATTGGCATTCAGCAGTCCTTCGTAAGGGCTTTGAACCCATCCCTTTTAAGCCTTCATAAAGAGGTTTAACTCTGAAGTCCAAAAGTGGAAACCCAAATCCAGCAGAATCCTGCCATGTGCACAATGTTATAAAAAGCTCTCAGATCTTGAACAAATTCATATCTGTTTGTATAAGGCTCCTTTACTGGAAGTACTGGAATATTCTAGGGTTGTTGTTGTCAGGGACATGAAGGATAGCCAAAGAGCAGGAAAGTAGTTTTACCAAGTAGAGGGCTGAAGCTCTCACAGGCAAACAGCAGCCAACTCTCACCAACCTCAGTTTTTACTAGATACATGCACAATACTCCCATGAGAATAAACAGTTCCTTACAGATTATTTCTAGCAAAGCGTTAGAAAACATTTTTTATGAACACCTGGTTCTAGTTATTCATATACTTTCTCCAAACAGACTGTTCCCAGAATGTTATCTCATTGTTCTCAAGACCGAAGCCTTGACCTTCTGAGTCATGGCTCCATGTGCAGAACTACAACAGCAGTTCTTCCAATCCGTGTCCCAATGTAACCTTCTCCTCTACATAGGGTGATCTACAAGGCTGACTTAGTTCATATTTAAGAAATTTCTGCAATAACAGTTCCTTTTTGTTTTGGTATCGGAGATTGAACTCAGGACCTTGTGCTTAGCGAGGCTGGCAGCGGAACCTCTGAACTAAGTCCCCAGCCCTCATTTTTTTTTTCTAAGCCTCTTTTTTAAGAGTGCACTGTTCATTCTGAAGTATCATAGCTCCCTTAGTTCAATATTTATCAGTTGTGCATATTGTTGCTATCTGGCTGGTGGGTTCTTTTCTCTACCCAGAAAGAACTGCAAGGCAGAGTCAAGAGAGAAAATCATCAAAAACTTTTATTTTTAGAGCAAAAGCAGAAAGCTCCCATACCAGGAGGTGACCCAAGAGGGTTGCCACAGGGTGTCTTTATCTAGGGGGTTTTTACACACAAAAAGAACTACATCTCATACCAATCTTGGCCAAACAGAGGTCACCTGTGGGGTTATAAGCAGGCAAGTCTGACCAGAAGTGGGTCTGTAGGAACTCCGGGAATGTAGTAAGCACACTTTTACAAGCACCATTAATTGTAACTTTTAAAAAAAATATGCAAGTATTTTATTACTCCTGTCTGAAGACTTATTTTTGGAGAGCAGACAGACATTTTATTAGCCACTCTTTCCATTCCTTAAAGGCTTCCATGGGTTTCAGCAAATTCACATGTTCTCACGACTATGCTTTGGAGTTGCCCTTGGTGTGTCAGCGGATTCCTCATCAATCCACCTTACCAGTGCCTTGTATCTTCTACAATACTGAAACCAATAGCACACTACAACTTGCGGAAGCAGAGGGTAAAGGTTTAGAGGGCGCCTGTCAGCTTCCTCCAACTGGTTGGAGCCTTGCATTAGGCCTGCAAGCCACTGGCAGCATCGCAGCCCAAATATATGTCCAGTCTCATGCATTGAAGTGTCACAGGATCGCAGCAGTACAACTAGTGATTTCGGGAATAAAATAGTTATCGGAAATGGAATAGTTACTGGAAGATATTTTGTGGCACTTACTTTGCCTTCATAGCATGAGGTATAGAAGTCCCCACACCATCTGTCAGAAGACAAACTTCCATGAGTCTTCTGGGTAAAGACCAACCATTGTTATCACCACCGGACAGAAGTCATCTTTGGGTTTCTTCTTTTTTTAAGAAATGTAGGATATGCCCTGCATGAATCTGTAGATTTTATGTGTGGTCATCGACTCTAAAGGAACAGCTGTTTGCAGAAACAGAAACTGGTTCTAGCAGCTTTACTGTCAGGCCGTGGAGAAGTTTGTCACAGTAGCCCTTGAGACATTTAATATATTCTTCACTGACAACTCCAGTGTTTCCTAGATCAATACTGCATCTCTCTGCAAAGGGTGTCTTTCCGTAGGGATCACGGGAAAACTCCTGGAAGTCCTGGGGAGCCTCAGGCTGGGAGGTGGGCAAATCTGACTGGGAATGTAAGGTAATGGATCCAAAGAGGTCCGTGGCTGGCTGGAAGGCTCCATTCATTAAACGTCGCTCCCCAGCATCTAATTTCTCATACTGTGTTACAAGCTTTGAGTCCTTTGAGAGGAGAGCTCTTTCGAGG